ACCATTGCTGATATTCTGAAATGTATCCAGAAGTAATTTGCAGAACAAAACATGGGTTTTTGGGGGCACCTGGATGGCTCAGTCAGTTGGGCATCTGACTTCGGCTCAGGTCATGATCTTGAGGTTTGTGACTTCGAGCCCTGAGTCGGGCTCTGTGCTGACAATTCAGAGCCTGGAGCCTGCTTCAGATTCTGTGTCTCCCCCTCTCTCTGCCCCTCCCAAGCTCATGCTCTGTCTCTCTCTGTCTCTCAATAAAAATAAACATTAAATTTTAAAAAAAAAATTAAAAACATAGGTTTTTGACCTCAGATATATTTAAAAAGTCCTGAAGTCATTGAGAAAAAATTAGGACTGTCCAAAATAAAGTACTCTTTTTTTCGATACTAGCATTAGCTATATTTTATGTCATCAAACAAGTATATTTTGAACATCTACTATTAGAAACTACCAGGTACTAAACAAGAGATGTTTAGTGACTAAATGATTGGCTCATAAGGACATCTAATGTCCTAAGCAGAAACATTTCTCAAGAAGGGGTACTGTAAAAATGTGCAAAAGTTTTAGATGCTAATAAAAAGCTATTGATGGATAAACATGTACAAATCTATAAGATTTTCTATTATTTTACTATGTATGGCTTAGGAGTGCCTTTGTTTCCTTCAAACTTACTTCATGAAGTTTTGATTGACCTCAAGTGTTCTTTAAATTATTATTTCAATTAAGTAAATTACATAAAGATGGAGGTCTTGAAATATTTTAACTTTTATTCATATCCATGTGACACAACTAAGCAGGTTTGGATCCAGGTTTCCTAAATCATAAGTCTTGGTCAGAGTAATCTGATTTGGGATGATAACACATTTCTGTGTCTAATGCTTAACTGAGAAGATCATTAAAGCAAAAGACAGGTGATGAAAGTTCTCTTTTTCCTCTGCTTCTCCATAACTTGGTTGAACATGATAGAGTGGCTGGCTTATTGATTTAGGAATGATAAGCAATATTACTTTCCCTAAAGGAAAATTAAGATGATTCATACCAAACTTGAAACTTGATTTCTAGCTTTCTGTGTAAATGTGTACAACTTTCTAATTTTGACTCAAATTTCTACCTTGGAAATATCCCCATATGCATGCAGGAAATCTCAACTTTGTAGTTTCCCAAGAATGCAATGACTGCCTTTATGCATATACATTATATCACTGGCAAAGCAGTCAAGTACAATATTTAAAGACTTAGATTCTGGTTAAATATCACCCACGCCTCTTACTAGCTCTGGATTTTTAAAGTTATTGAAACTGTCTGTGTCTGCGTTTTTACATTTATGAAAAAAGAGTGACAATTAAGTATGTTAATATATGCAAAATACTTAGAACTGTGTCTGGCAAATAATAAACACAGTATATGTGTTTACAGACAGTAACACTCTATCATTTCTCAATTTGAGTTCTTGTCTATCCCATGGACCTAATTGTTCCCTTCAAGGGCAAAATAAGTATGTGCTCAGTAACTGGTCGTTTCTGTTCTGAATTCTTCTCGTTAAAACTTCTTTTCCAACTTTCAGTCACTCACTTAATATTTTGTAGGGGTTTTTTCCATGTTGCATACTACATATTACTTACTTAACTGTATCATTTATACTCTATTTTAATGGAAAATGTTTCTGTTCTGAATTCTTCTCATTAAAACTTCTTTCCCAACTTTCAATCATTCACTTGCTATGTTTGTAGGGTTTTTTTCCATGTTGCATACTACATATTACTTATTTAACTATATCATTTACTCTATTTTAATGGAAAATGTATTCATAGCACTAATAAATGGCTTTGTGTAATAAGTTTTTCTGCTAAATCTTATGACTGTGTAAATGATAATTAAAATTAAAATATTCATCAGCTAGAATCATCTCTTGTGCCTCTCACAGCAACACACAGCACATCTTAAAGCATTGTCTTATAGGAAACCTTTCTAAAGTGACTAGAAGAGACCATTTAGAGGGTGATGGGCCAATATAGCCATCAAAGCCTAGTAGTGGTAGGAGAAAGGAGGGCATGTGTTGGCCATAGAAGAAGTGGTAAGTCTGACTTAAGAGACTGCCCAGGTGCTTATTCATCAATATTGTAGAGACATTTGATTGATACTACTTTCTTTAACATTTAAAGCTTAAGGTGTTTTATATGTTCAGAGAATGATTTTTAGACAAAGACTGGACTAAAGACTGGAAATCCCAACAGGCTTCAAAGACATGGAACAAGAAAAAAAAATCCAGAACTCTTCCACCCTTGTAAATTGAATGTAAGACATACAAAATTTTCAGTGAAGATAATAAATCTTAATACAATGACTAATTGTTAAGAGAAGTAAGTTTTCAAATGTATAGCAGTATGAAATAAGTGTCTGGTTCCTTAAAAGATTTTAATACCAAATATATATGAATATTAAATGTCATATATCATATATAATATGTTATAATGTATAATACACACTATATAATATATACTAAGTAATATGTATAATTTTACTACATACTATATATGTATTTATTTCAAAATGAATTAAGATCAACTATGGTTGTTTTATTTAGGGTAATGCTAGTACTTGTAAAATTCTCTAAAATACACAGTGGCTCTAAGGAATAGAAGTTTATTTCTTGCTACATAGCAGTTAGAAGGAAATTTTCTACAGGAGCTCTCTTGCTACAGCTTTCTCTAAGTAAAAAATTATTCCAAAGTAACAAGTTTCTTCAATAAAACAAAATGAGTTTCTCTGGCCTATGTTTGGCTTTTCTCCACATGGTGATTCAGTCTTCTTCCGTCTTGCACCTTCATCGTCCTGCAGGACCTCTCTCCATGTTTACGCCCAGCCAGTATATGAGGAAACAGGGAACACAGAGGGAAAGCACTCACTGCTTAATAGCCTTTAATGGAGAGAGTGGCTATTGTTTCTGCTCACATCCCATTGGTCTGAACTAGTCATGTGGCCACTCTTAATTGCAAGGCAGTCTGAGAAACGCAGTCTCCATATGTGCCCTAGAAAAAGGATGGAATTTTGGTGAGGAAGCATCAGGGTTTGCCACAGCCTTCCCTCCCCTTCACCGTATATCAGTTTGCATCTGCCTTCCAACATCTCTCCGCCTCCCCAAAGAAGACAACCAAAAGTCTACTTCAGTTACCACATCAAACTCCAATATCAGAATAGCTGGTGACAAATAGAACTCTCTCCATCAGGCCAGATTCTCTCCAGCGGGTTAAAGGTTTAAAACTTGAAAAATAAGTTCTCTGTTCTGTTTTTCCCATCACATCCAATAGGCAATGGCAGAGCAAGAACTTGATAACAGGAAACAAGCAAACAAAACTCTCTCGTTTGTAAAGGAAATAAATGGTGAACAGCCAACAGTCCCTTGACCCAAATGATCATGAACGCCTGCTGGGCAGGCCCTGTGAGACCCTTACCCTGACAGCAGAGTCAGTTCCTGGCCCTTCTGGCTCTCCTTTCTGGGATAATTCCCCATGCCCATTGTTCTCCAAGGTTTCTGGCTCTGCTTTCTAGAGGTTCGTCCTTCTCCGTTATCCCCCACTGGTGGCATCTAAAGTGAGCTTTGAAGAGAATAGTTTCCTTGGAGGTTGTACTGCCTTCACAGTGCAGTTTTGTGGAGCAAACATGGGGTTCAAGTGTTGTATGAAGTCACAGATCTTTTTAGGTCAGGCTTCTGATTTCTTCAGTAATACAATTCTCTCAAAATCTTAACAGGCATTGATTTAATTCCTTAAATCAGTTACACGTGCCAGATTCAAAGGCATCCAAAGTTATTTTCTAGACACTCGGCAGCCCCACTTTATTTCTTTAATACCTCACACTCATCCCCCAGTCTCTCTCTCTTTCTCATTCTTTCTTTTCCTACTTCCTTGTCCCTTTTCTTTCCTACCCTCCTCTCTCTCGTTCATGTAAAATACTGGAAAATTCCTATCTAGTAACATAGTATTATTAATTATAGCTTCTGTTGAAGTTATCAAACAATACAATGTTTCATTATAAATTGCTCTTTTCCCTTTTTGTTTTATTATAGAATCTGCCTATGATGCTTCAATAGAAACAACAATAAGGCATCTTTAAAATGTTGTTCTTAAAACACTTAGCTATTTATTATTGTATGTTTAAATACATCTGTAGAAGAAGACATGTAAATTAATAGAATATTGACTCTGAAAAAGCTAAGTTCATATCATAAACACAAAGTGTTTCAATATTAAATATTTTGTTCCAATTACTATTTCAGCTTTGCAAATCACCCTGCAATATAGAGGTATAAAGCAATGATTTTATTTTATGCTTATAGAACCTGGTCAAAAATTCAGATTAGTCATAGCAGAAATAGCCTGTGTCTATTACACAGTGTTTTAAGCTTCTACTAGGACTTTGAAACATGGGTTGGGGAGTGACTCAATGGCTGGTGGGGGGAAACATCAGAAGGTATCTATACTCCTGTGATTGGCATTTGAGATGAGGCTCAAACCTCAGCTAGTCTCTTAGCCAGAAAACCTATAAGGCTCTCTCTGTGTGAGATGATTTGGGCTTCATCCCAACATAGTAAATATTTTCCAAATATGAGGGTTCTAAAAGAACAAGGGGGAAGTGCATGACATTATTATGTTCTAATATTTTAAATCATGTAGTGTCACTTCTGCCGTAGTTTTTTAATTGAAACTTGGCCTAAAGCCAGGTTCAAAATGAAAGAACATAGACCCCATGTCAAGGTTACATGGTAAAAAGAGTATGTGGAACAGGAGATATTGTTGTAGCCCACCATCTTTGAGTACACATTTTACTCAACTTAGTCAATGTCCAAAACATTTACTTTCCATTTTTTATCTACTTTGACTTCTTGAATGAATCTCGATATGGTTATAGATCTGTGTACTTTTACTAAAGTATGCTCTTTTAAATCATTTAAAGCTTTTTTGAGAGAAACAATATAATAATACCTAATGTCAATATTTTTACAGATATCCCGACACAGGAGGAATCATTCTCAGCATGTCTTGAAAGATGTCATTCCTCCATTGGAACAATTGGTAAGTGATTATTTCCCTGCAATACTGTATTATTCATCTACTGCTACAGAATAAATGATCCTCAAACTCAACATCTTGAAACAGCACACATTATCTCCTGTTTGTGTGGGTCAGAAATCTGGGTGTGGCTTAGCAGAGTCCTTTAGTTCAGAGTATTTCAAAAGATTGCAATCACTCTTGCAGTCAGATTGGGGTCACATCTGAAGGTTTGACTGAGGAAGCCATCTGCTTCCCTGTTCATGCACATGGCTTTTGGAGGGATTCAGATCCTTCAGGGATGTGGTCCAGAGGCTGCTCTCAGTTTCTTGCCCCATGGGCTTTGCCAGTATGGCTGCTTCCTTCTTCAAATCATGCAAACGGAGAAGGCAACAGATTCTGTTACCAAGATAGAAGGCAAAATCTCTTATAACCTAACCATGATAGTGATAACTGTCAACTTTTCCACATTATCTTGATCAGAATCAAGTCACTAACTCCAGTCCACACTCAAGGAGAAAGGACTAAACCAGGCTGTGAATAACAGGAGGCAGAGATTATTTGGGGCCTACTGAAAATTTTGACAATTTTTTTTAGAAAAAAATTAATCCCTTACCTATAGATTCTAAATCCATGAAGGCAGAGATTTTTTTGTTTCCATTTTTTAATTGCTGTATCTTAATGACTAGAAGAATGCCTGAAACATTGTAAGTAACATGAATGAAGTATTTAGAGGTATCTTAAAAACACATAAACCCAACTTTCCTGATATTCTGATACTTCTTTCTATTAATGACCCCTTTCCAGTAAATATAACACTCTTTTTCTCTATGCTTATCCTTCCTGGTGGATTTCACAATGGCCAACATGCCAGTCAGTCCCATTGGCTTTTAGGATACCACACTGAGATGACTTTATTCCTATCTGTTTCCTGCTATTCTATCTCTATTATTTTGGGGCTTTCTCATCCTCAGCACCAAAAGTATTTATTTATCTAGTTCAGTTCTCTTATCTTCTTTAATTTTTCACGTTCTAGGTCTCCCATCTCCACTCTAGCCATTGCTCTATTACTTTCTTTGCTTTAGAATAAAATTCCCTTATAAGAATTGTCTACCTTTATTGTTGTCAATTTTTCTCCTCCGTTATCTGTTGATCCAACTCCATTTAGGCTTTTAAAAATATATTTATTAATTTTTACACATTTTTGAGAGAGAGACAGAGGGGGAGTCGGGGGAGGAGCAGAAAGAAAGAGAGACAGAGACAGAATCCGAGGCAGGCTCCAGGCTCTGAGCTGTCAGCACAGAGCCTGATGCGGGGTTTGAATCCATGAGCAGCGAGATCATGACGTGAGCTCAAGTTGGACACTCAAGTGACTGAGCCACCCAGGCGCCCCTTTTTAGGCTTTTATCCCAACCACTAATTTCCTATCAAGGTGATCAATTGCTTTCACATTACTAAATCCATTGGTAAGTTCTCAGTTCTTTCATTAGATCTCAGAATTTAACCCAACTGATAAGTCTCTTTGAAGTACTTTCCTTATATGAACACCAGTAAACCACTTTCTCATAGGTCTCCAATTTTTTTTTTAACTTTTTTTTAATGTTTTTATTTCTAGGAGAGAGAGAGAGAGAGACAGCGTGAGCAGGGGAGGGTCAGAGAGAGAGGGAGTCACAGACTGAAACAGGCTCCAGGCTCTGAGCTGGCAGTCAGCACAGAGCCCGACGCGGGGCTCGAACCCACGAACCGCGAGATCAGGACCTAAGCGAAAGTCGGACGCTTAACCGACTAAGCCACCCAGGCACCCCTCATAGGTCTCCAATTAATTAGACACCCATTTCCATTTCCTTTGCTGGTTCTTCTTCATCTTGGAGTTCAACTTAGCTTCTTTTTCTTTATGTTTATTCCCTACAATGTATCATTCAGTGCTATGGTTTTAGGTACTGTGTTACACTAACCACTTCTGCATGGACCATTGCTCTAAACTCTAGTACTGTACATTGTGGCATATTCATCTATACGTCTAACTTACATCTCTAACTTAACCTACCCTAAACGGATCCTGATTTTCTCCCAAACTTGCTTCCTTCAATCTTCTCCATTTTACTAGATGCTAACTCCATTCTTCCAAGTGCTTCAGTTAAAGCTTTAAAAGTCATCTTTGTCCTCTCTGTTTTTCTCACAAGATAAAGTTAAACATCTGTTAAGCTGTTTGTTTGATCTTCAGAATATATCCAGAATCAGTTCCCTTCTCACCACCTTTATGCTATGTCATCTCTCACTTGATTTAATGCGATCGCCTCCAACTGACATGCCACTTGTACACCTGCTTTCTACTTTTTATTTTTGACACAAATATTTTTGCCAGAGTGATCTTGTTGGCATATGAGCTAGGTCATGCCCACTGCTGCTTGATTCAAATTCCTCTCTGGCCTTCAGTGTCTCCCAAGGAAAAAGCTGAAAAACATCCCAGAGTTCACCAGATTCTACATGTGTCAGCTATGGCTCTGGCCTCGGCTTTTCCCTTCTTCTCCTCATTCATTCTACTCTAGCCAGATTGACCTCCTTACTTCTCTCACAGGGCCCTTATACCAGCTCTTTCCTCTGCCTGGTACAAAATCATTTATTTTGGGCCCAGAAACTTGTAATGCTTATTCATTCATTTGCTTTGAATCTCTATTCAAATATCACCTTTTAAGGGGCGCCTGGGTGGCTTAGTCGGTTGAGCGTCCGACTTTCGCTTGGGTCATGATCTCGCGGTTCGTGGGTTCGAGCCCCGCATCGGGCTCTGTGCTGACTGCCAGCTCAGAGCCTGGAGCCTGTTTCAGAGTCTGTGATTCCCTCTCTCTCTGACCCTCCCCTGCTCATGCTGTCTCTATCTCTCTCCTAGAAATAAATAAAACATTAAAAAAAAATTCAAATATCACCTTTTAAAATGGATCTTTCCAAGGTGCCTGGGTGGCTCAGTTGGTTAAGCATCTGACTCTAGATTTCAGCTCAAGTAATGGACTCACAGGTTTGTGAGTTCCAGCCCCTCATCAGGCTCTGCACTGGCAGCACGGAGCCCACTTAAGATTCTCTCTCTCTCTCTCTCTCTTTCTCTCTCTGCCCCTCCCTTATGCTCTCTCTCATCCCCCCACCTCTTTCAAAATAAACAGGTAAACTTAAAAAAAGATAGGTCTTTTATAATCTTCCTTAAAAACAAATAAACAAATAAGAAAATCCACTGTTTCCATTTACACATTTTTCTCTTACCCTAAATTATTTTCTCCATAGAACTTGCCACCATGTGGCATATTATTCAATTTCTTTTTATTTGTTCATTATCTCATGAAAATGTTCTGTGTGAGCAGAAGTATTGTCTCCTATGTCCATAACTCCATTTCCATTATTATAATTCTTGCTAGAACATGCTAAGAACTCAGTAAATGTGTGTTAAATTAATGCACAAATGAAACAGTTAATGGCTTTTGTTTTTACTTTCAAGTTTATAATACACTGATCTATATTTTTTTCTTTTCATTATCTCATCCTATATCTTCTTTTGCTTATTAATTTGTTTTACTTTGAGGGAGAAAGAGTGAGTGGGGCAGGGCAGAGAGAGAGGGGAACAGAGGATCCAAAGTGGATCCTGCGCTGACAGCAGCAAGGCTGATGCTGGGCTTGAACTCAGGAGCCATGAGATCATGACCTGAGCTAAAGATGGATGCTCAACAACTGAGCCACCCAGGCGCCCCTTTCTTCCTATATCTTAAAGTGCTAGCTAGTGGTTTATTCTACTGTGTCTCCTTGTCATCTTAGAAGTGAAATCTCCCAGACTGAACCCATCATCACCTTCTTCCAAAACTGGTTTCCCTTTCCATCAAGCCTGTCTTTAAGAGTAGCAAACATGTATCCAGGCTTAGAGGACATTTCCTTGGATCCTATTTTTTATCTATGGCCCACCAAATAAGTCACCATTTCCCAAAGCAGTTTCTCTGCAATGTGTGTGGTACCCACATTTTTCTTTATGGTTACACACACATCCTTGCCCAGGCCTTCAAATGCTTCTGATCTCAACCTGCCAGCCCTCCCCTGTTCTCTACTGTGCCCCTTCCACTGATCCTGTGTAGCAATTCTACACCAATCTTCTTTAAACAGTACCTCCATTACTTCATTTTCCCTGTCCAAACATTTAAGAGCCTTCTATTTTCTATAACAGCAAGTCTATAGACTTCTCTCATGATCCCTGATTTATCTTATTTATTATCTGCTCTCCAGTACATACCCTCAGGCCAGGAATGATAACGTGAGTAAGACATGACTCTCACCCTGAAGGAGCTTGAATTTTCTGTAACAATTATTTCCTTCATCTCAGCACTCTTTTGTGTTGTTCACCCCTAGTTCATGTAATAGACTTGGTCCACAGCTAGACTGTAAATGCTTTGAAGTTAGGGGTCATGACTTGTATTTTCTTTATTATACCATACTTACCCTTACATTGCTTTTGGCACTAGGGTTTGTTCACAAAAGACATGTCTGTCAATTGATTTAATACTAAGATATTAAAGTTGTATTAAAATTATATTGTTTATTCAGATATTAATAAATATATGCTGGCTATTTATAGAGAAAGACAAGCTTTTTAATTTAATTAGATGTAACAATACTTTGTTTTCAAAATTAATTACTCAGGTCTCAACTTACCATTTTCTCTGTGAAGGCTTTCTCTGAGTCCTCAAATTTGAATCAGGTAATCCTTATTCTGCATCCCAAGTAGCCTGACCTTGCCTCTGACTTTAAAATTTCTCTTTTGATAATCACATTAAAATTGTCTGTTTCCTTGTCTCTCTCTTATTGAACTGTAAGCTATTTGAAAGGAGGGCTATGCCTCACTCACTGTCTTATGAGGATTTCATATAAGGCCTGGCAAAGTGTAGTTGTCCAGTGAATAGGAAAGCAATTGTATTTCTTTTCCATTAATTTTTATTACAGAGCAAATAAAGTACATACACGTAATTATAAAGAGCTGTATATTTGGGGTGCCT